CCATTCACGTTTGTCAGGATTAGAGCACCTCTTGAGAAAGCTTTCTTCATGATGTACGGTCCCTCATAGTTGGGAGTCCACTTGCCTCTTGGATCAGTGTGGATTGGGAGAATCTTTCTTAAGACCAGGTCACCTGAGTGGAACTCTTGAGGCCGAATCTTCTTGTCAAATGCCTTATTGAGACGTTGTTGGTATAACTAACCGTGACAAATGGCTGTCAGGTGCTTTTCTTCGATGAGACTGAGTTGGTCGAGTCTCGTTTGAATCCATTCTGCTTCATCAAGTTTATTATCCATCAGAACCCTTAACGAAGGAATCTCCACTTCGATCGGGAGTACTGCATCCATACCATAGATTAGTGAAAACGGAGTTGCCCCAGTGGAAGTATGCACCGAAGTTCGATAGCTATGCAAGGGAAAAGGCAACATCTCATGCCAATCTTTATATGTTCTCACCATTTTCTGGATGATCTTCTTTATGTTCTTGTTAGCGGCTTCGACTGCCCCATTCATCTTTGGCCGATAGGGTGATGAATTATGGTGCTCGATCTTGAACTCTTCACACATTTCCTTCATCATCTTGTTGTTGAGATTTGACCCGTTATCAGTGATGATCTTGTTAGGAGTTCCATACCGGCATATGATCTCTCTTTTGATGAAACGAGTGACAACTTGCTTGGTCACATTCCTATACGAAGCCGCTTCCACCCACTTGGTGAACTAGTCAATAGCAACGAGGATAAACCTGTGTCCATTTGAAGCGCTCGGCTTGATGCGTCCAATCATATCGATACCCCACATTGCAAACGGCCATGGTCAAGTCATCACATTCAAAGGAGTGGGAGGAACATGTATCTTGTCTGCATAAACCTGACACTTGTGGCACATTTTGGCATATACACAACAGTCACTTTCCATCGTCATCCAGAAATAACCTGCTCGTAGGATTTTCTTGGCCATGGAATGCCCACTGGCATGAGTCCCAAAAGATCCCTCGTGTATTTCTCGTATAATGGATTCTGCTTCGTGTCTATCCGCACATATGAGTAGAACCGAATCATAGTTTCTCTTGTACAGAACATCTCCTGACAATAAAAACTTAGACACCAACCTTCTGAGAGTCCGCTTATCACAAATCGTAGCAGCTTCAGAGTACTCTTGCTTCTCGAGATATCTTTTGATGTCGAAATACCAAGGCCTTTCGTCTGATAAATCTTCAGTTGTGAGACAATGAGCAGGGAAAATATGTGCTGGCTCCTTGTAACGACATATCCTTATACTGGGTGCATGATTCGGGTAATTGACTTTAAACATTGCTGCTAAAGTGGCCAGAGCGTCTGCCAGTTAATTCACTTCTCTAGGAATGTGCTCAAAGGTGACTTCATCGAAAGTGGGCAACAACTCAACTATGTAATCCTTGTATGGAACTAAATTAGGGTGCCGTGTATCCCAATCACCCCGTACTTGATGTATCACTAAGGCAGAGTCCCCATAAACTTCAAGAATCTTGATCTTCAAATCAATGGCGGCTTCAAGGCCCATCACACAAGCTTCATACTCAGCGACATTATTCGTGCAATCAAAACATAAGCTGGCAGTGAAAGGTATGTGAGTGTTGCGTGGAGAGGTCAGAACTGCCCCAATACCATGACCCATAGCATTTGATGCACCATCGAACGTGAGATTCCATCGCTCCCCTGGTCCAGGTCCTTCATTGTCATCAAGTTTCATAATATCCTCGTCTGGAAAGTCGAACTTCATGGGCTGATATTCTTCCAATGGTTGGTGAGCGAGATGATCAGCAAGAATGCTACCTTTGATGGCCTTTTGTGTGACGTACTGGATGTCATACTCAGACAAAAGCATTTGCCATCGAGCCAATCTGCCTGTAAGTGTTGGTTTCTCGAAGATGTACTTTATCGGGTCCATCTTAGATATCAGAAGCGTAGAATGTGTCAACATATACTGCCTCAAGCGTAGGGCTGCCCACGTAAGAGCACAACAAGTCTTCTCAAGTAAGGAATACCTCGATTCATAATCAGTAAACTTCTTGCTCAAATAGTAAATGGCGTGTTCTTTTCGTCCAGTATCATCATGTTGTCCGAGCATACAACCCATAGATCCTTCAAGCACAGTCAAATACATAATGAGGGGTCTCCCTGAAACTGGTGGTATGAGTATTGGTGGTTCTTGAAGATACTGCTTAATCTTCTCGAAAGCTTCTTGACAACTCTCATCCCAACAGACGTCCTGATTCTTGCGTAACAATTTAAAGATGGATTCACAGGTAGCAGTAAGATGGGAAATGAACCTGGCTATGTAATTCAACCTTCCAAGGAAACCTCGTACTTCCTTCTCATTTTTCGGCGCCGGCATATCTTGTATTGCTTTTACTTTATCTGGATCTACTTCAATTCCTCGTTGAATCACGATAAATCCAAGTAGCTTGCCTGATCGAACCCCAAAGGTTCATTTATTGGGATTAAGCCATAACCTGAACTTTCGTAAACAATCAAACAACTTCTTCAAATGAACCAAATGTTCTTCCTCCGTCTGTGACTTCGCAATCATGTCGTCGACATAAACCTCGACTTATTTATGGATCAGGTCGTGGAAGAGAGTCACCATAGCCCTCCGATATGTTGCACCAGCGTTTTTAAGACCAAAAGGCATGACCCTGTAGCAAAAGGTACCCCAAGGAGTTGTGAAAGCTGTTTTATCCATGTCTTCCGAAGCCATCTTTATCTGATTGTAGCCAGAGAATCCATCCATAAATGAGAATATTGAAGACTGAGCAGTGTTATCAACCAATACATCAATATGAGGCAACGGGAAATCATCCTTCGGACTTGCTCTATTCAAGTCTCGGTAGTCAACACACATACGTACCTTACCATCCTTCTTAGGTATGGGCACAATGTTAGCAATCCAAGGCGGGTAATTTATCACAGATATGAAACCTGCTTCGAGCTGCTTCAGAACCTCTTCTTTGATCTTCAAGGCCATGTCGGGTCTAGTCCTTCTTGGTTTTTGCTTTACAGGAGGACATTCTAGCTTGAGTGGCAATATGTGCATTACTATATCAGTGTCTAAGCTGGGAATGTCTTCATACGACCAGGCGAAGATGTCAGCATACTCTTGAAGAAATTCAATCAACCCCTTCTTTTCTTCACTTTGCAAGGCGGCCCATATCTTGACTTCTCTTTTTACCTCTTCAGTACCGAGATTGACGACTTTCGTTTCCTCTTGATACGGCTGGATGACCTTCTCTTCCTGTCTCAAGAGTTTGGCTAGTTCTTCAGGGACTTCACAATCTTCCCCATTATCTTCGTTAGCATGATCAACCGAATTCTCAAGGATATAAGGAGCCATATCATTATCATTTCCAACGGAGTCCGAGACAGATATGTGTTGTACCCCAAAATTTGCCCTCCCATATTCTTCAAAATTTGCCAAGTCAAAGGTTCAAAAAGTTCCCCAAGGGTTACACAGTTCAAGGGCCTCCTAAACAGTCAAAATTAGGGTTTTGGTCCTGACAAAGTAAATGAAGTTTCCAAGGGTATAATCAAGTCCCACATGCTTATAAACATGGTCAAGCATCCCCCTACCAAGTTTCAAGACTTTCAGCACAAAATTGCACAGTCAAAAAAACCTAATTGCACTACAGTCAACTGTAAGGGCAAAATGGTCATTTGACAGTCAAAAGTTCAAATTTTTGGTCAACATCTCATTTTGAAGCCACAAACATCATTTGATCAATTCTTGATCATGATTCTCAAAGCTTGGCTCAAAAATCATCAAGATGCAAAAGTTTCCATATTTGGACAGTTGAAAAAGTCAACTGTAACTTGACCAGGGCATAACTTCCACATGGATTATCAAAAAAATTCCATCCAAAGCTCATTTTGAAGATAAAGACATTTCCTACAACTCCTCTTCACACTTCAAGTCCAAGAAATGCTCTCACAAAAAGTTATCAATTTCAACATTATAGGTCATTTTCAAAAGTCAACAAAAAGGGACTTTAAGTCAAAGGCCATAACTTGAGATTGCTAAATCAAAATGACATGGGACCAAAGACATTGGTTATAGGACTCAAAGACCTTTCCAAAATGTCCAAGAACATGAGCAAAGCTTAAAAATTGAGCAAGTTATGCCTTGTGGAAGTTGGGAAAGTTTTGGATATTTTGAAAAGTCAACATTGCTTCAAATGACCTAAAAATGCTAATGGGCCTCTTTTGCTTCCACAATTCATCATCCAAGGCATGTGCGCGACCATTTGGCCCAAAGGGAAGTTTTTCATTATTTTTATTTATTTATTTGAATTTTTAATTGCTAATAATTCATTTAATTAATTAAAATATATGAAAAATACCAAACCTAAGTTTTTAAATCTTTTTATGCATGAAATACACTCAATATTTTGTGCATGATCAGATTTGGAAAGAATCAAGGTAATTGAACATGATTTGTATCAGATTTGCATGAAAAAGATTGAAAAAATATGCCATTAAAGTAAAATATTAGATTCATGATTACAAGGCTTTTTTGACTCAAATCTTTACCCTAATTCATTTACCCATATATACACAAGTTAACCTAATCCTAAAGGGGGAGAAGAAAAAAAGAAAGCTGCTCGGAGACCAAATCTTTACCCACAAATACACATACTTTCATCATCATATTCTGAGAAACTCATTAACCATATAATTTACAAGTGTCATTCCACACTACTTCAAAAATCAATCTTCAACACTAACACATCTCACCAATATCACCAATAGATCAAATTGCAAACTCACACCGTTCAAACCTTGCTGCAATAATTTATGAGTTCATTCACAAAGCCAAATCCGTGAGATTTTCGAACTAAAAAATCTCACTGAAAATCAATAATTACACCTTCTTCATTGATTCAAAAATTGACAATAGTACAAGCCATCCAACAACAAATTCATTAATATAACAACTTGTACAGAGTTTTGTTTTTGCAGGAACAAATCAAAAAAAGGAAGAACAAACGAAAAATGGATCGAATACAACCGCGCCTTTAAAACTCCGGTCATAGTCACGACGTAACACCAACAGCGACGGAGATCGCGCCTGAAATCGCTCGCGCACAACCACCGACGCTCCGTTCCCGGCCACCACACGCGAGAATCGATTGGCCACACGAAATCCACCGCCTCCAGCCTCCTCGCATTCCGATTGCCGCTCCAACCACGCTCATCCCATCGAAGCTTTGACGTTAACAATCACCCATCCTTGCTTCCGATCGCTCAACACTGACTACCACTACTCAGATCCAGGACGATAACACCGCGGGAAGCGGTTTCCGCCGTCGACTTCTCTCTGCGACTCCCTCGGCCGCATACTGTCGACCGTCTCTGCCGTGCAACCAACGCCACGGAACACTGTGAGAACCATCACGCGGAAAACGCAGGATGTGCTGTATTTATTCTCTTCTCCTATTGGCTTTCAAATTTATATGTTCTTTTGATTTCTTTTGAGATTTTATACATTGATTTTGTTAATGAGATGATGTTGGTTTGCCTGATGTTTGGTTGCCAGGAGTTTGGGTTTCTTATCCTTAAGAAAAGAAGAATAGAGTTAATGTGAGAGAAAGTTTCCTCCTGATGTGTTTTGTATAAGTTACATATATTATATTTTGTTGTGATTATATTAACCAATAGAAACAGTGGTGTAGTTGGCAAGGGGTTGTGTTGGTAAGCGAGAGGACCTGGGTTCGAACCCCAGGTCCCCCTTTCTGTTCCATATTATTTTGCTAATAACGCTTCTGTGCAGTTTCAATATAAGGGTTCACCATACTCTCTACATCCATGCTTGCCACGCGTGCAATGAGATCAATCAAAGGGTCCAGACTGGGAGAACACTCTAAGCGTTAGTCAATGAAGTCACAGGCATCCTGAAAAAGTCAAAAGGCCTTGCAAAGATGGGCCTAAAATGCTAAGAATATACCGCCAAATTTGGGGACAGAACCCCCCTAGGTTTTACAATTCTTTTCTTTCTTATTTTCATCTATTTCAATTATTTCTTTTTAATATATTCCTTAAATTTAATATTTTCATAAAAAACATAAAAACAACAAAAAATCAGAAAAAGACAAAAATTAAATATATTGTTATTCAATTAATATTTCTGTAAATAAAACCTTTATTAATTAATTAGTTTTAATCTAGGATAAATCTTAATGTTTTTCAATAAAACCTAAAATTGGTAGAATTAGGGTTTCTAGCATTTTTCATTTTTTATTTATTATTTTACTATATTAATTATTAATTCTTAATTCGTTATTTTTATAAATCAAGTTGCAATTAATTAATGAGGCTTAATTTTAGATAATTGTCATATTTTCTTAATAAATTAAAAAATTGTAGAATTAGGTTTTAATTTCATAAAAATTCATAAATCCAAAAAATACCAAAAATAACTTCCTTTCATTTTAATTTTAATTAATTTAATAACTTAATTTAATTTTATTAAAAAGGGTCCAACGCCCTAGTTTCCAATTTTATTTCAATTCGCGCGTTTTATTTCGTTTCTTATAATTATTTATGTACCTCTCCCAAAGCCATGTAAATATTAATTTCTCGCACTTTATTTTAATTCTTTATTTTTCTGTCGAATCGGGTCCTGGAAATTTTGGCGATGTGGACCCGCGCCTTTTGTAATAGTTTAGAACTTTATCTTTCTCGCAATTTTTAACTATTAAATAAATGCATGCAAGAATGAAAAAATAAAAACAACGCGTAGATCACCCATAACCTGACAAGATCAAATAAATGAATCTGACACACAAAATCACACACCACCCCTAGGGTACGCCTCACTGTCGCCTTTCCCCTCGAAAGGTGATCGTCGAGTAGAGGATGTCTTAGTAAGTCCTCATGATCCGGGAACCTGGCATGAGGGTAGCTTCTAAGGTATCTTCCTATTGCTCTGGTGATCACCATGTCCCGAACCTCGAATTGACCCGAACACCTCCAACGGTGATGCTACCTACCTCTCAATGGTGGGATGGCATTACTTTAAAGGACATTTACACAGACGAATTCCTCAGGGTAGGTAGACGACTCTAGATACTTGCTCTAATTTCAAAACAAAATTCAAAAAATACTTTTCACACCGACACCTTTTCAAAAGCTTTCGAAAGCGACTTTTCAAACACTCTTGAGGACCGATACAAGAGTCGAACTGGAATTTTCAAAGAAACTTTTTTGAAACCCACAGTTGAAAAGCAAACAAACCATTTTTGAAAACACAAATGAGCAAGTATCTAAGAGCCCGTGGATAACCATGGATAGAAAGGGTGCTAACACCTTCCCTTTCTATAATCTACCTCCCGAACCGAGAGCAATCTCTTTAAGGAATTTTTCTGTGCTTTTGTCCTTTCCATTTGGAGAAAATAAAAGACGGTGGCGACTCTTGCTTCCGCGACATTTTGCGAACCAGCGTTAAACAGTCAGTTCCAGATCCACCGATCACAGAACTGGCGACTCTGCTGGGGATAAAAAAACTTAAAGTGAGGTGTACCTTAGGGTTAGTTTATAACTGTGTTTTCCATTGTATTGACTTGTCTGCTTTAAATTTGTGGGTTGCATGGGAGTTACATAGATCCTAACCCGGATCTGGGGATACCCTGTTTAGGTAGCATAAGCTGTGAGGGACCTGTCCGGCGTATACCGACATGGGTGAAGTAGTGGCTACGTTGGTGTGGTGCCTTGGTATGTACCGATAGCCCTCGTGTTGAAACGGGGAGAATATGGGTCTTCCAAGGAGTCATTAAGCACCAACAACCTTAGAACCCTAAATGACACAACTTGGCCATTAGAACAGTAGCAGTATGTGTTGTACCCCAAAATTTGCCCTCCCATATTCTTCAGAAATTTCCAAGTCAAGCTTCAAAATTCTCCAAGGGTTGCACAGTGTAAGGGCCTCCTAACAGTCAAAAATTAGGGTTTTGGTTCTGATCAAGAAAATGAAGTTTCCAAGGGTCCACAGGAGTTCCACATGCCAATAAACATGGTCAAGCATCCTCATACAAAGTTTCAAGACTTTCAGCACAAAATTGCATAGTCAAAAACCCTAATTGCACTACAGTCAACTGTAGGGGCAAAATGGTCATTTGACAGTCAAAAGTCCAAATTTTTGGTCAACATCTTATTTTGAAGCCACAAACATCATTTGATCAATGCTTGATCATTATTCTCAAAAGTTTGACTCAAAAAGTCTCAAGATGCAAAAGTTTCTATTTTTGGACAGTTGAAAAGTCAACTGTAACTTGACCAAGGCATAACTTTTTCATGGTTCATCAGAAAAATTCCATCCAAAGCTCATTTTGAAGAGAAAGACATTTCCTACAACTCATCTTCATACTTCAAGTCCAAGAAATTCTCTCACAAAAAGTTATCAATTTCAACATTATAGGTCATTTTCAAAAGTCAACAAAAAGGGACTTTAAGTCAAAGACCATAACTTGGGATTGGTAAATCAAAATGACATGGGACCAAGGACATTGGTTATAGGACTCAAAGACCTTTCCAAAATGTCCAAGAACATGAGCAAAGCTTAAAAATTGAGCAAGATATGCATTGGAGAAGTTGGGAAATTTTTGTGAAATGGCCAAAATCATTTATCCTTGAAATTTCATTTTTTGACAAAAGGGGCCCACTTTTTCCACTTGAATTAACTTGGCCATGCTTCCCACGTGTCCCACCTTTTATTTCATATTTTTTAATTAATTTTTCCATTTTTAATTGATTTTATTGGATTTAATTAATTTTGAATCTTTTAAAATCAAAAGAAATTCAAAAAAATTAATTTAAAGGAATATTTGGCTTTGATTAACCTTGAAGCATCATTATGTATATCCCATTTTCGTGCCAAGGCTTAAAGAAGCAAGAATTCAAAAATTGATTCAAAAAATGAAGTTTTGTTATGGAGGTTTATGGAGGGTTTTGGACTTGAATGCTATACATTAAGAGACCATAATTCCTCTTGATTCACATTACCTAATGCCTATACAAGTGATCAAAAACGAAATTGAGAGAAGAGGCTGCACCCCAACACTAAAAGAATCCATAAACTCACACTTGAGTTTTTGTCAAAAAATTGAAAACTCCAAAATCTCATACATCCATCTTCAAGGTCTCCTGACTATTCTTTCGTGTCTATAAGGTAGTATGTGACATGTTTGAACCAATTTCTATGGCCAATACATGCTAGAACACCATGCTCATGGACATCCGTGTGTTTATCTTTTTGGTTTTGATTCTTACATTGTCTTATGATTTACTCTATTTTATTAATGCTAACATGTTTATATGAGTACAGGGATTGATTCTGGTCCATCTTTTGAATGATTCTGTGTCTAGAATCAAAATCACCATGACCATGGCAAGCATGGTGAAGTTTCAGATTCTGGGTTATAGGTCGTTTCAAGTTCTAAAAACCATCTCATTGAACCCAGGAGGCTTTGATTAGTGAGGAAGGATCTTTTATTTTCTTCGATTGTACTTAATTTTCATGTTTGATTTTTCAGGACTTTCAGCCACGGAAGAAATCCGTAGGTAAAACCCTTCGACCTAAGGCGACGGGCCAAAGGTTAGGGATGATATGTGGCTCATAACCATTGGACCATTTAAATGTTTATCCCGCGCGTTTTCATTTTTGAGATTTCCAGAATCCACGTTTTTTCATTCTTATATTTTTGTTTTCATTATAAATCGGATAAATGCGCTGGTACGGATGGTAAGTCTGTAGAGTTGTGATCTTGAGGTCCCGGGTTCAACACCCTCGGGACCAATTTTAATAACCAGCATTTTCTTTTTCTATTTTTAACAAATTTTTACTTTTCTTTATTAAATAAAAATCAACTAAAAATATTTTAATTTTAAAACCAATCACTAGACTTTAGGTTATTTTTGTATTTCATTTTTAACTTAACATATCTTTCCCAATAAATCCAAAAAAACAAAAAGTAGTTTTATTTACTTTTTATTTTGAAATTTTATTTTAATCTAAACAATTCTATTTTATAACAAAAATTACAAATAAATTTATTTCTTCTTAAAATCCAATTTCTTTATATAATTAAAATCACCAAAAATGTTTATTTCAATTTAAATGTAATTTCTGTTTATAACTTTAAAAAAAAAATCATTAAAAAAAATATTTTATTTTTTCTTGTTTCTTTTTAATATTAATTTAAAAAATGCAAAAAAATAAGTTCCTTTTTATTTAACTCAATTATTTTAATAATTTTATTTTAATTCCTTCAAAGGGTTCAACGCCCTCGCATTCGATTACATTTTTGTTTCGCGCGTTTTATTTATTTCTTTTTGTGAATATAATGTACTTGCTCCAAAGCCCTGTAATAGTTAATTAGACATTTATTTTCTGCACTT